AGAGGTGCTCAAGACGACCAGAGTTGCTCAAGACATGACCAGGGGTGCTCAAGACATGACCAGAGGTGCTCAAGACATGACCAGAGGTGCTCAAGACATGACCAGAGGTGCTCAAGACATGACCAGAGGTGCTCAAGACATGACCAGAGGTGCTCAAGACATGACCAGAGGTGCTCAAGACATGACCAGAGGTGCTCAAGACATGACCAGAGGTGCTCAAGACATGACCAGAGGTGCTCAAGACATGACCAGCGGTGCTCAAGACATGACCAGAGGTGCTCAAGACATGACCAGAGGTGCTCAAGACATGACCAGAGGTGCTCAAGACATGACCAGAGGTGCTCAAAATGCTGGGTCGGGGTAACAAATATGGGGGTTTGAATAATTATGAGATATATTTATTATTTTAAAATGAGCTATAAATTAGATTTTTGCATATATATATATATATATATATATATATATATATATATATATATATATATATATATATATATATATATATAATATAATATATAAATCTATGTGGAACCAAATATTGTGGTCCATTATATTATATATTATATATAACTAAAGATTGGTAATCTTGGACATAGTATTATATCAAATCACCTCATTCTTTGGGGCACACGTGAGGAACACAAATGCGAACAAGCCTAAGTTTTCAGTTGCATATAGTCCTGGGGACCATTCAGGCTTGTTCGCATTTGTGTTCCTCACGTGTGCCCCAAAGAATGAGGTGATTTGATAAAATACTATGCCCAAGATTACCATCAGAGTGCCGTCGGGCTGATGGGCAAAATAGCCTCGGCTACCATCAGCTTTAGACTGGTCGTGATGGTCGAGTGGATTAAGGTGTCCTGTACACACCAGTTGCATATAATATATATATATATTGGATTGGAGCCCCATCTCCCCTCTCTTGGGCAAGTGATGTTAATGTACCAATGATTCAATACAATATATATATATATATATATATATATATATATATATATGTTACTTAAATAGTACACTAATTAAAAAGGCAACTTTTAAATTTTATATTTTTTTTAGGTTTCTCAAAATAATAGGTGACGAAATCTCTAACATATTTTTAGCATTTTTCATCATAATTTAAATTCCCTTCAAGATCTCATCACAGGTACTTAAGATGCTGATTAAGAATTCAAGACCAATAACTTATAATTTTAGTAATTTGTATTATAAAAGACCTTATGCATGAAATATTCATGCCAGGTATTAGCCTAGTCATACATTTAACGTGATTTTTGGCTCTAAGCATTTTTCTCCTGATTATTGATAATTATACGCTAGATTCCGCCTATTTAGGTACATTGGGAAAATTTATATTGAAACGAAAACTACTTCTTATGTCTAAATAAAACCTGACTATATATTTAATTACAAAAATATATCACATGTTAATGAAAGACAATTATTATAGAATATTTGCCATTAAATTTGTTATGTTAATTAACAGTCTGAACATGCTAATTGATATTACTGAAATTAGTAATTTCTAACAGTCAAGAAGATACTTATATAACAGCCCCATCTCCCCTCTCTTGGGCAAGTGATGTTAATGTACCAATGATTCAATACAAGACTGTGTGTCATGTCTTACAAGACTGTAATTACCATATTTGTATCCTCACATTCCTTATGTACACTCCTGTATATGCATAAATAAATAAATAAACACATATACTGTTGCTCTAGCGTTGACGAAACGTTACTTGGGCAACCCGACCTCTCAACTAATACGTCTTATTTTATATGTTATGGTCCCCAACGTTCAATTTACAAAGTTCTATGAAAATTAACTGCTCGCAAATATTCACATTACCTATGCAGCAGTAGGTGGAGTTAGGTGGGTGGATAGGGTTCATGCATTTTTTAATAAGGTTAGCACTTTGTTTTTTCTACGTTGTGGTAAAACAATACAATGAGTTGAATTGAGCATTGTTTGCCTATAGGATATTTTTTCAGGGAAGAGGTACCTTGGTGATAATCACTTCAAAACCACTGTATTTAGTGTTACTATTTACTATCTATCTGTGGTTACGTTAGGTTAAGGTTACATTACGTTACCGTTATGTTACATTAAGGTTACGTTATGTTAAGATTACGTTACATTAAGGTTACGTTACATTAAGGTTTCATTATGTTTGATTACATTATTAAAAATTATTCTCAAACGTGAAATAGAAATTTAAAAACTATTTGAGTATCCCCCAGATTTCATTTACAGAAAACTAAATTCTTCAGATAGTTTAAAAGAAAACCAGCTAAACAGACGTTTTTCTGTTTTAAAGCAACGATTTTTTTGGACCGACCTTACTGTTATTAGGACCTTAATATGCTTTCACACCATCACAAATATCAACATAACTAGCCAGTTGGTGTGAGAATGGGTTTGGTGTCTCGTTTTAATAACTCTACCCTGAATATGGGCTCATATTTATATATAACAACCTGTCCTCTCGCATAACACATCCTATTTTAACACAAAAATTTCCAACATCAAATTAAGAACTATTCAAAATCACAGCGGCTCGCAAAACTGACGTGATGTCACGTTTTCTAATCGTAGGTCCTCTGTTAGGTTAGGGAAAGTTAATACATAATTTTAGTAATGTTGTGAACCCTGGAGAGGGCGGGTTGGATATATCGTGACCAAACGTTTAGTTTTGACATGTTTATATATGTTAAAACATGTTAAAATAATTTTAATTTTTTTTCCAAATTATTACGCATAATAGAACTTCAAGTTCAAGAATAGAACTTCTTGTCTCATACACTTTGAAATGTAAATAAGATATGAGAGAAGGTTCATACCCAGCGGGCAAAACGTGTTCGATTATTGTTTAATAAACGCTAGATCAACGATTAACCATCGTTAGATAAACATTTAATTTTTTTTTTTTTTTTTTTGAGATATATACAAGAGTTCTTACATTCTTGTACAGCCACTAGTACGCGTAGCGTTTCGGGCAGGTCCTTAATCCTATGGTTCCTGGAATACGATCCCCTGCCGCGAAGAATCGTTTTTTCATCCAAGTACACATTTTACTGTTGCGTTAAACAGAGGCTACAGTTAAGGAATTGCGCCCAGTAAATCCTCCCCGGCCAGGATACGAACCCATGACATAGCGCTCGCGGAACGCCAGGCGAGTGTCTTACCACTACACCACGGAGACTGCTTAATCAACGCTAAAACAGCACATGATACTAGATCAGCACTTAATTAATAACCCCTCCTCTGAATAGACAGTACGTTTTAATACTAAATGTAATAAGTACATTCCTGACTGTCTGCATAGTACATAAATACACTTAATTGTACTGTTACATTAACCTTCCCCATATATTCTCCAAATATTGTATTAATACTCTCAAACTTTTTAGGTTCAAGTTTTCATGTTCAATTCTACATAAACAAGTTTTAAATATAAGTAATTTCTTTTTCAGTTTTATTAAACAATAGAGATTTTATACAAAATTTAAAATATCCTGAGTTACATTATAATTTATTGAAAGATTTTAGTTTTATTTTATTAGTTATATAAAATTGTAATATCAATAAAGCTATAGGTTAAGTACGAATTGCAATTAAGAATCAATAAATGCTATTTACATGCTTGTCCTCCTACACTCCCAAGGTTAGGTTAGGTCGTGGTTTTCTATACAACTTTTCAGGTAAATTCTAATATTCACAAGATTTTGGTGCGATGCTGGAAATTAAGTGCATTTGTGTACTATGCCGATAGTCAGGATTGTACTTATTACATTTAGTATTAAAACGTACTGTCTATTCGGAGGATGGGCTGACTTAATCATACTAGATCAATACTTTAGTCCTGGACTATGTTCCGGACTTACTTGCTAGTTGGCCAGTAAGGTATTGTGATGGTTTGTGATGGTTCAGGGAGCCGGTCGGCCGAGCGGACAGCACGCAGGACTTGTGATCCTGTGGTCCTGGGTTCGATCCCAGGCGCCGGCGAGAAACAATGGGCAGAGTTTCTTTCACCCTATGCCCCTGTTACCTAGCAGTAAAATAGGTACCTGGGTGTTAGTCAGCTGTCACGGGCTGTTTCCTGGGGGTGGAGGCCTGGTCGAGGACCGGGCAGCGGGGACACTAAAGCCCCGAAATCATCTCAAGATAACCTCAAGATAACACTATCTGTAAGCTTGTAATAACTTGCCAAAGTGTCAGATTATGCAGATGTTCACATATCCTTCAAAACATTACATTCACCCAAACTCAATGGGAATTACATAAGCCTTTTCTCAAAAAATGTTTTCGTCAACTTTCGGGAATTTGTGCATTACTTTTAAAGTAATTTTGGTTCTAGTTTCACTGTTGTATTATAGCGAAGAACTGCTAGCTAACACAATTCTAAGTTTATTTAATTGTTATGATGTTGGCGGCCAGGGAAAGGTGACTGTCGTTTCCTTACTTTGCGCATCAGCCAAACTGTCCTCCCACTTAAAAATCAGGGGCCAGATTCACGAAAGCACTTACGAACCTGTACATCTTTCCTCAAACTTTGACGGCTTTAGTTACATTTATTAAACAGTTTACAAGCATGAAAACTTCCCATTCAACTGTTGTTATTGTTATAAACAGCCTCCTGGTGCTTCGGAGCTCATTAACTGTTTAATAATTGGAAACAAAGCCGCCAAAGATTGAGAAAAGATGTACAGGTTCGTAAGTTCTTGCGTAAGTGCTTTCGTGAATCTAACCCCAGAACTGCTGATGTAATAGAGCAGAGACAAAGCTGTGCCCAGAGTTGCACACACGTGTCCAACACACACTCGTCCAACACACACTCGTCCAACACACACTCGTCCAACACACACTCGTCCAACACACACTCGTCCAGGCTACACACACACCATGCACCACACGGCAAAACACCATAAACAGGTGAAACCAAACCACGTGAAACAACAAACAAAAGCTGGTGAGACTGCGTCGTCAGCTGGCGACTAACCGAGGGGAGGGGCGGAGGCGGCGGCGTCTTGGTCTCCCCTGGCATCCTGAAGGTGGCGTAGGGGGAGATCTCATCGTAGGATCCCAGAGGCAATGTGGAGGGCGTGTAAGCCTCCAGGATCTCCAAGCTGTGGCCCCCCAGCAAAGTTTCCGAGGTGAGGCCAGAGTCACGGGTGAGGTCGTTGTGTATGTGGTTCACCTCTGGGAGCAGACGGCAGTGTAAGTTTAAGGGAGAGAGGAGAACCAAATGTCAAATAATATATCTTTGCATTTTTCAAGTACCAAACAATGCCATCTGCACACAACATTGAGTCTCATCAACGAAAGCAGTCTCCCTCGCCTCAGCAAATCAATATCCAAAAGATAACCAACCTTTGTACGTCTGTGTGTGGGTTCTGCTCCTGCGGCAGGTGTAGGCGACGGCGACGCAGACGGCGAGGAGTACGAGGATGCACGCGACCACCACGGCCACCAGCACGTGGGAGTCCAGGTACCAGGGAGGCAGGCCCACCGCGTCATGCACTATCAGCTCCGGCGATAACGTGGCTGAAGAATACAACACATTCACCATTCTATCTCAGGGGTGTTTAACCTTTTTTTTACGATTACAGCTCCCCAGGGGATAACCCAATATGCCCCCCTAGTCCCTTGGCCCTAGTCCCTTGGCCCTAGTCCCTTGGCCACTGTAAAAATCATCACCAGTCCTATTACTGATTCTTTCTTTATTATACACCCCATACCCATCCCGTGGGCGGTGGTGTAAAGGATTAAAGAGGCACATAATCGGTTCAGGAACTGAACCCTCTAGTTCGTTTAGATGAGCAAACAACAATCTTTTGACGCTAGTTACACAATTATTAATGTTTTATATACATGTACACATACTCATATATACATGTACATATATATACATATAAATATATACACATACATATTCAATCACGTACACAAATACACACACCAATAATCTTTTGTATCACAAGTGATTCAACAAGAGGCTCACAACAGTCACTATACAAGGCACTTTACATCTATGGTGAGGGGTACGAGGATCAATGTCGTCAACTTTCTTTTACTAGTCTTTACTAGTCAACCAACTTTCGTTACTAGTCTTGCTGCACACCCACCTAACTGGGCGGCAGCTTTACAGTCATGTGCTCCACACACACCCAACTGGGCGGCAGCTTTACAGTCATGTGCAGGCTGCACCTACAGTAAGCAAATTTTGGATACTTCGCTAAGATTTCGGGCAGCACATCATTATGAATGAAGTACTTACACATTTCTTGGACACCATTGATGGTGTTATCTCTGAATTCCGCGATTTTTCCCCATTCCATTATATAATGATGCAAAGTATGCGAATACTTCTGCTGACAGAGTTTACATTTAGTCAGATCTACATCAACAGATGTTACAAACTCCCAGAGGTACTTGTAGCCGAGCCTAAGCCTAGCAGTGGTAACATCTAGAAGTCTGCTAACATTATTGGATGACCCATAGACGTGCGGCACTTCCTGCATGATAGAATGATGATAGATGGAGGAACTGGTGTGAATTTCACTTTGCCTCAAGTCTCCAAAATTTAGTTGATGTTCCCGGAATATTACTGCCCTCAGGCTGCCCAAAGCCAGTCCAAGATGGTAATCAATTCCCTCTTTACGAGCAAAAGTCTTGGCCAACTCATCAGTTCAATCATGCATTCGGAGAGCAATATGGGAAGGAATCCACAGGAGACAGACCCTGACTTCATCACTGATTATTTCATTATAGCTGTCTAGCTTCGGAGATAAGCACGTCATAGTTATGCCTTAGAGAGCTGAGGGCAGTCAAGGATGACAAGGAGTCACTTACAATTAGCGTGTCAATTTTGGATTCATATACGCCCTCGAGTGCAAGGATTATGGCAACCAATCCTGTGTGAAGAGTGGAGGCCCAGTTACTGAGACGCGCTTAGCTGTAACTAGTGAGATTTTTGTTGTTATTTGTGCAGTCAAAAACTTGGACTCGAGGCCCAGTTACTGAGGATGATAGATAATTCTAATCTAACAATAACCTTTTGTTGTTAAATTATTCAGAAATCGAATCCCATTTGGGGTATAGATACCCCAGGTTAACCATGTAATCTGTGCGACACGGTTAACAAATACAACACATTCCAACATGATGTTGTGGCATAACAGTCATAACTATTGACCTCTTTTTTTAAGTAGTGTAAGTTGGTGGATATATTTCAACCTGTTCCCTCAGAAAGTACTTTCCATTTTTACTTATAAATCCTCCTAAGACCAAACAAGTTATGTACTAAAAAGCATAACGGCTTTCAAAATTGACTTCATATCTCGTTTTCTAATTGACTGGTCCTAGGTTAGGTTAGGTTAATGACTTTGTAAACGTCAGAGAGGCTGTAATGAGCTCCCCTCACAGCTGCCAGTTGACGAGTTCTGCAGCAGACCTGTTCTCACTAGTGTGAGGCAGGTCCTGTTTACACCGTGGAAAATTTTCCACCAACATTAATGGCATAACATGTCTTAGTAATGCTCTATGAAGGCACATGGGCCAGGCATAGCTATTTATAGAACAAGCGAAGCTCTCTGGAGACAGAGCAACCCGTCCTCTTAAAAATAACGTCACTTTTGGCTGGTATGCGCGGCACTATGGCCAAATTTGGACGTAATTTGAAATGAAATCGACTCACAAAAGTGACGTTCTGTTCCGTTTTCTATTTGAGTCGTCCGGCCTACGCGGAGAGGTTATGAGAGGACACTTTAAATTCACGTTTTTCATAACGTTTTGAAACTTTATGAGAATTTCCTGCCCACCTAACCTATCAGAGGACCGTATGGCCAAATTACGTCCAAATTCGGCCATACGGACAAACGGCCAAAAGCGACGTTCTTTTTAAGAGGACAGGTTGAACTTCAAGTCAGCATAAAGCGACCATTTTGTGAACTCCAACTTAGGAAAACCTCCATAAATGAACCCATATGAGGATATGTAATTACATCTAGCAACAATAAGCATATCATTGTAATATGCCAAAATAAATGCAAATACTCAATAAATAATTGTTTAACAAATACATTTGGTTAACATTTGTATAAATGGATCATTAAAAGGAGCATGGCAACCTATCCACGTTGTAGTGGATAGATCCACAGATCAACAGGGCAATAGATCCACCTTGGGGTGGATCGCAGTCAGTGTCCAGATGCTGTTCGACAGTAGTAAACATTGCTCCTCCACCAAGAGGATATTCCAGGAAGTTAAAGTTGCCTTATTTGCCGCTGTTTAACATCCGTGGACCTGAATGGTGGTTTTAAATATTAATTTTTGCCCCGAGGGGCGAGTTTATTGGGCAGTGCCACTCATCCTGTGAGTGGACACACCGCCATAGCAGCATGTACAACACTCCCCAATAGGAAGAAAACCCGCTGGGTTGTTCATCCTGTCACTTGTACCCAGACGCAGCTGGGACTTGCTTAACTGTCTCAAGTGAACAGCTCCTCAAACAAGACGATTATTATCTGTCAACCCTTAAAATCTTACGTTATCATGCGGGTGCAAAATGAGGGAATCTTTTAAGTATCAGTATTTGACAAATAGTGTTTTCCTAACTCAAACAATGTGGGGTTTATTATTCTACACATATTTCTAATGTCTCTCAGGTGTTCACATTCTTTCAGGTAGTGATCAAGGCGGTGTCCGTCACTCTCATCACAGATTCTGACTCTCCGCTGCTCACCTGTTGTTTAAATGGTGGTGTAAACTGCACGTACAATGTACATAAAACAACAAGACACTCTACTTAAAGTGTTTTGAGTGTATGTCTTGCAGGAAACAGTGAGAAGAGTGTGTGATCACATCGTCGCCACAGCATGCGACGCCTCACTGCCTCACACACAAGAAAACATTACTCTGCCTTACACGCCAGGATACTCCAGGAAGTTCAAGCTGCTTAACTGTCACCGTTTAACAACTGTGGACCTGGATGGTGGTGTCAACCGCATATACAGTGTGCATAACAAGCAAGACACACTGTTTAAAGTGTTATAAGAGTGTCTTGTCACAGTGAGGAGTTTGAGGACAGTGACGCCACAGCCGCATCACCTTCCCTCCCCTTACACAGAGTAAACAATACTCTGCCACAACAAGACACTCAATTTAAAGTGTTTTAAGGGTGTCTTAATATAAACTGTGAGTGGGGTGTGAACAATTGTGAACAATTACTTCCCACGAAAATAATTTATATTAACTAGGTCAATCAATGTTTGACAAATATTTTATATATTGCAATTGCTTAAAAATAAATTAAAGTATACAGTTGCAATGGATAAATTCATATCATAACATAATTTTGTCATTGTAATAACTCATATGTGGCAAGATACCAAACTAAAAGGTTACACTAAACACATTAGTACCCGTATCAGTGCTGCTCCATTTATACACATTACTTTTTACCAAGTGGTTAGTAGAGATTTTTCCATTTTCAACAAGTTAATGAAGGCAGCCCCATTTCTGTTGGATCACTCTGAAAACTGAGCCAATTAGAGAACACAAAATATATACAGTCCATGACCCCAAGAAGAAAACAACAGTTTTCCAGTGGCTAGTTAGCTCCTTATTTTAGGGATCCAGAAATAAAAAAAAAATCCCACATACACTACGCTATTTTTACTAGTATATATGTCCAACCTATTACCACTTACCAAATCCTTATTATATACTGTATACCGGCTTAACTATAGCAAAGATGAGATGGGAAGCTCTTGTGTACTGTTTGATCCTGTTAAGTGTTGTGAAAAGACAGGCAGGTGTGTGTGAGTGTGGTGAAGGCACAGGCAGGTGTGTGTGAGTGTGGTGAAGGCACAGGCAGGTGTGAGTGAGTGTGGTGAAGGCACAGGCAGGTGTGTGTGAGTGTGGTGAAGGCACAGGCAGGTGTGTGTGAGTGTGGTGAAGGCACAGGCAGGTGTGTGTGAGTGTGGTGAAGGCACAGGCAGGTGTGTGTGAGTGTGGTGAAGGCACAGGCAGGTGTGTGTGAGTGTGGTGAAGGCACAGGCTGGTGTATGTGAGTGTGGTGAAGGCACAGGCAGGTGTGTGTGAGTGTGGTGAAGGCACAGGCAGGTGTGTGTGAGTGTGGTGAAGGCACAGGCAGGTGTGTGTGAGTGTGGTGAAGGCACAGGCAGGTGTGTGTGAGTGTGGTGAAGGCACAGGCAGGTGTGTGTGAGTGTGGTGAAGGCACAGGCAGGTGTGTGTGAGTGTGGTGAAGGCACAGGCAGGTGTATGTGAGTGTGGTGAAGGCACAAGCTGGTGTATGTGAGTGTGGTGAAGGCACAGGCAGGTGTATGTGAGTGTGGTGAAGGCACAGGCTGGTGTATGTGAGTGTGGTGAAGGCACAGGCAGGTGTGTGTGAGTATGGTGAAGGCACAGGCAGGTGTGTGTGAGTATGGTGAAGGCACAGGCTGGTGTGTGTGAGTGTGGTGAAGGCACAGGCTGGTGTGTGTGAGTGTGGTGAAGGCACAGGCTGGTGTGTGTGAGTGTGGTGAAGGCACAGGCAGGTGTATGTGAGTGTGGTGAAGGCACAGGCAGGTGTATGTGAGTGTGGTGAAGGCACAGGCTGGTGTATGTGAGTGTGGTGAAGGCACAGGCAGGTGTGTGTGAGTGTGGTGAAGGCACAAGCTGGTGTATGTGAGTGTGGTGAAGGCACAGGCAGGTGTGTGTGAGTGTGGTGAAGGCACAAGCAGGTGTGTGTGAGTGTGGTGAAGGCACAGGCAGGTGTGTGTGAGTGTGGTGAAGGCACAGGCAGGTGTGTGTGAGTGTGGTGAAGGCACAAGCAGGTGTGTGTGAGTGTGGTGAAGGCACAGGCAGGTGTGTGTGAGTGTGGTGAAGGCACAGGCAGGTGTATGTGAGTGTGGTGAAGGCACAGGCTGGTGTATGTGAGTGTGGTGAAGGCACAGGCAGGTGTATGTGAGTGTGGTGAAGGCACAGGCAGGTGTATGTGAGTGTGGTGAAGGCACAGGCTGGTGTATGTGAGTGTGGTGAAGGCACAGGCAGGTGTGTGTGAGTGTGGTGAAGGCACAAGCTGGTGTATGCGAGTGTGGTGAAGGCACAGGCAGGTGTATGTGAGTGTGGTGTAGGCACAGGCTGGTGTATGTGAGTGTGGTGAAGGCACAGGCAGGTGTGTGTGAGTGTGGTGAAGGCACAGGCTGGTGTATGTGAGTGTGGTGAAGGCACAGGCAGGTGTGTGTGAGTGTGGTGAAGGCACAGGCTGGTGTATGTGAGTGTGGTGAAGGCACAGGCTGGAGTATGTGAGTGTGGTGAAGGCACAGGCAGGTGTATGTGAGTGTGGTGAAGGCACAGGCAGGTGTATGTGAGTGTGATGAAGGCACAGGCAGGTGTATGTGAGTGTGGTGAAGGCACAGGCTGGTGTATGTGAGTGTGGTGAAGGCACAGGCAGGTGTATGTGAGTGTGGTGAAGGCACAGGCAGGTGTATGTGAGTGTGGTGAAGGCACAGGCTGGTGTATGTGAGTGTGGTGAAGGCACAGGCAGGTGTGTGTGAGTGTGGTGAAGGCACAGGCAGGTGTATGTGAGTGTGGTGAAGGCACAGGCAGGTGTATGTGAGTGTGGTGAAGGCACAGGCTGGTGTATGTGAGTGTGGTGAAGGCACAGGCAGGTGTGTGTGAGTGTGGTGAAGGCACAGGCTGGTGTATGTGAGTGTGGTGAAGGCACAGGCAGGTGTATGTGAGTGTGGTGAAGGCACAGGCTGGTGTATGTGAGTGTGGTGAAGGCACAGGCAGGTGTATGTGAGTGTGGTGAAGGCACAGGCAGGTGTGTGTGAGTGTGGTGAAGGCACAGGCAGGTGTATGTGAGTGTGGTGAAGGCACAGGCTGGTTTGTGTGAGTGTGGTGAAGGCACAGGCAGGTGTGTGTGAGTGTGGTGAAGGCACAGGCTGGTTTGTGTGAGTGTGGTGAAGGCACAGGCAGGTGTGTGTGAGTGTGGTGAAGGCACAGGCAGGTGTGTGTGAGTGTAGTGAAGGCACAGGCAGGTGTGTGTGAGTGTGGTGAAGGCACAGGCTGGTGTATGTGAGTGTGGTGAAGGCACAGGCAGGTGTGTGTGAGTGTGGTGAAGGCACAGGCTGGTGTATGTGAGTGTGGTGAAGGCACAGGCTGGTGTGTGTGAGTGTGGTGAAGGCACAGGCAGGTGTGTGTGAGTGTGGTGAAGGCACAGGCAGGTGTGTGTGAGTGTGGTGAAGGCACAGGCTGGTGTATGTGAGTGTGGTGAAGGCACAGGCTGGTGTGTGTGAGTGTGGTGAAGGCACAGGCAGGTGTGTGTGAGTGTGGTGAAGGCACAGGCAGGTGTGTGTGAGTGTGGTGAAGGCATAGGCTGGTTTGTGTGAGTGTGGTGAAGGCACAGGCAGGTGTGTGTGAGTGTGGTGAAGGCGCAGGCAGGTGTGTGTGAGTGTGGTGAAGGCACAGGCAGGTGTGTGTGAGTGTGGTGAAGGCACAGGCTGGTTTGTGTGAGTGTGGTGAAGGCACAGGCAGGTGTGTGTGAGTGTGGTGAAGGCACAGGCAGGTGTATGTGAGTGTGGTGAAGGCACAGGCTGGTGTATGTGAGTGTGGTGAAGGCACAGGCAGGTGTGTGTGAGTGTGGTGAAGGCACAGGCAGGTGTGTGTGAGTGTAGTGAAGGCACAGGCAGGTGTGTGTGAGTGTGGTGAAGGCACAGGCTGGTGTATGTGAGTGTGGTGAAGGCACAGGCAGGTGTGTGTGAGTGTGGTGAAGGCACAGGCTGGTGTATGTGAGTGTGGTGAAGGCACAGGCTGGTGTGTGTGAGTGTGGTGAAGGCACAGGCAGGTGTGTGTGAGTGTGGTGAAGGCACAGGCAGGTGTGTGTGAGTGTGGTGAAGGCACAGGCAGGTGTGTGTGAGTGTGGTGAAGGCATAGGCTGGTTTGTGTGAGTGTGGTGAAGGCACAGGCAGGTGTGTGTGAGTGTGGTGAAGGCGCAGGCAGGTGTGTGTGAGTGTGGTGAAGGCACAGGCAGGTGTGTGTGAGTGTGGTGAAGGCACAGGCTGGTTTGTGTGAGTGTGGTGAAGGCACAGGCAGGTGTGTGTGAGTGTGGTGAAGGCACAGGCAGGTGTATGTGAGTGTGGTGAAGGCACAGGCTGGTGTATGTGAGTGTGGTGAAGGCACAGGCAGGTGTGTGTGAGTGTGGTGAAGGCACAGGCAGGTGTGTGTGAGTGTGGTGAAGGCGCAGGCAGGTGTGTGTGAGTGTGGTGAAGGCACAGGCAGGTGTGTGTGAGTGTGGTGAAGGCACAGGCTGGTTTGTGTGAGTGTGGTGAAGGCACAGGCAGGTGTGTGTGAGTGTGGTGAAGGCACAGGCAGGTGTATGTGAGTGTGGTGAAGGCACAGGCAGGTGTGTGTGAGTGTGGTGAAGGCACAGGCAGGTGTGTGTGAGTGTGGTGAAGGCACAGGCAGGTGTGTGTGAGTGTGGTGAAGGCACAGGCTGGTTTGTGTGAGTGTGGTGAAGGCACAGGCAGGTGTGTGTGAGTGTGGTGAAGGCGCAGGCAGGTGTGTGTGAGTGTGGTGAAGGCACAGGCAGGTGTGTGTGAGTATGGTGAAGGCACAGGCTGGTTTGTGTGAGTGTGGTGAAGGCACAGGCAGGTGTGTGTGAGTGTGGTGAAGGCACAGGCAGGTGTGAATGAGTGTGGTGAAGGCACAGGCAGGTGTGAATGAGTGTGGTGAAGGCCCAGGCAGGTGTGAATGAGTGTGGTGAAGGCACAGGCAGGTGTGAATGAGTGTGGTGAAGGCCCAGGCAGGTGTGTGCGGGTGTGGTGAAGGCACAGGCAGGTGTGAATGAGTGTGGTGAAGGCACAGGCAGGTGTATGTGAGTGTGGTGAAGGCACAGGCAGGTGTGAATGAGTGTGGTGAAGGCACAGGCAGGTGTGTATGAGTGTGGTGAAGGCACAGGCAGGTGTGAATGAGTGTGGTGAAGGCACAGGCAGGTGTGAATGAGTGTGGTGAAGGCCCAGGCAGGTGTGTGCGGGTGTGGTGAAGGACAGGCAGGTGGGGACTTACCTCCCAGGTGAGTCAGTGTGGTGAAGGGATAGGTGGCGACCGAGGACCCGGCAGAGTTGTGGGCGGTGACTCTGAGGGTGTAGCGGTGGGCGGGCTTCAGGTCGAGCACCACGAACTCCGTCGTGTTGTCCCAGCGCACATGGTTGGAGACCAGAGTCCACGACGTCAGTCCCCGCTCCTGAAGTGTGATGACGATTGATTGATTGATGAAGATTAAGCCACCCAAGTGGTGGCACGGGCATGAATAGCCCGTACGTGGTGGCCCTTTTGAGCCATTACCAGTATCAAGAGCTGATACTGGAGATCTGTGGAGGCGCGACTGCACCCTGCGTGACGGGAGATGTCTCCCGTAGTGTGATGACATGGAGTAAATCATGTTATACTGGCGCACAGAGGTAAGGTACCCCCCGCACCACACACACACACAAGATGACCTAGACAGACTGAGTGAATGGTCCAACAAATGGCTGTTGAAGTTCATCCCGAGTAAATGCAAACTAGGCAGTGGAAACAGGAGGCCAGACACAGGAAACAGAATAGGAGATGAAGTACTTCATGAAACGGACAGAGAGAAAGATCTAGGAGTTGATATCACACCAAACCTGTCTCCTGAAGCCCACATAAAGAGAATAACATCTGCGGCATATGCGAGGCTGGCTAACATCAGAGCAGCGTTCAGGAACCTGTGTAAGGAATCATTCAGAACCTTGTACATCACATATGGAAGACCAATCCTGGAGTATGCGGCCCCAGCATGGAGCCCGTACCTTGTCACGCACAAGACGAAGCTGGAAAAAGTCCAAAGGTATGCCACTAGACAAGTCCCAGAACTAAGAGGCATGAGTTACGAGGAAAGGCTGCGGGAAATGCACCTTACGACACTGGAAGACAAAAGAGTAAGGGGAGACATGATCACAACCTACAAAATCCTCAGGGGAATCGACCGGGTAAACAAGAATAACTATTCAACACTGGTGGGACGCGAACAAGGGGACACAGGTGGAAACTGAGTACCCACATGAGCCACAGAGACGAGCACATGAGCCTCCACCACATCACTGCATTAGGCAGTGATGTGGTGGAGGCTGACTCCATACAGTTTCAAATGTAGATATGATAGAGCCCAGTAGGCTCAGGAATCTGTACACCAGTTGATTGACAGTTGAGAGGCGGGACCAAAGAGCCAAAGCTCAACCCCTTCAAACACAAATAGGTGAGTACAAATAGGTGAGTACACACAAGTCTTGCTGGTTAAAATAAATGAGACTTAGTGAGATCATTCTTAAGGAGACAAACAGTCACATGGATGATGTTGAGGGAATCATTTCAATGGGGCCTTCACCCTATCCTCGACCACCAGAGGCCTTCACCCTGTACTCGACCACCAGGGGCACTCACCCTGTACTCGACCACCAGGGGCACTCACCCTGTACTCGACCACCAGGGGCACTCACCCTGTACTCGACCACCAGGGGCACTCACCCTGTACTCGACCACCAGAGGCCCTCACCCTGTACTCGACCACCAGAGGCCCTCACCCTGTACTCGACCACCAGGGGCGTTCACCCTGTACTCGACCACCAGGGGCACTCACCCTGTACTCGACCACCAGGGGCCTTCACCCTGTACTCGACCACCAGAGGCACTCACCCTGTACTCGACCACCAGAGGCACTCACCCTGTACTCGACCACCAGGGGCACTCACCCTGTACTCGACCACCAGGGGCCTTCACCCTGTACTCGACCACCAGGGACACTCACCCTGTACTCGACCACCAGGGGCCTTCACCCTGTACTCGACCACCAGGGGCACTCACCCTGTACTCGACCACCAGGGGCACTCACCTTGTACTCGACCACCAGGGGCACTCACCCTGTACTCGACCACCAGGGGCACTCACCCTGTACTCGACCACCAGGGGCACTCACCTTGCACTCGACCACCAGGGGCACTCACCCTGTACTCGACCACCAGGGGCACTCACCTTGTACTCGACCACCAGAGGCCTTCACCCTGTACTCGACCACCAGGGGCCTTCACCCTGTACTCGACCACCAGGGGCCTTCACCCTGTACTCGACCACCAGGGGCACTCACCTTGTACTCGACCACCAGAGGCCTTCACCCTGTACTCGACCACCAGGGGCCTTCACCCTGTACTCGACCACCAGGGGCCTTCACCCTGTACTCGACCACCAGGGGCCCTCACCCTGTACTCGACCACCAGAGGCCTTCACCCTGTACTCGACCACCAGGGGCACTCACCCTGTACTCGACCACCAGGGGCCCTCACCCTGTACTCGACCACCAGGGGCCTTCACCCTGTACTCGACCACCAGGGGCCTTCACCCTGTACTCGACCACCAGGGGCACTCACCCTGTACTCGACCACCAGGGGCCCTCACCCTGTACTCGACCACCAGGGGCCTTAACCCTGTACTCGACCACCAGGGGCCTTCACCCTGTACTCGACCACCTGGGGCCTTCACCCTGTACTCGACCACCAGGGGCCTTCACCCTGTACTCGACCACCAGGGGCCTTCACCCTGTACTCGACCACCAGGGGCACTCACCCTGTACTCGACCACCAGGGGCCTTCACCCTGTACTCGACCACCAGGGGCCTTCACCCTGTACTCGACCACCAGGGGGCCCTCACCCTGTACTCGACCACCAGGGGCCCTCAACCTGTACTCGACCACCAGGGGCCTTCACCCTGTACTCGACCACCAGGGGCCTTCACCCTGTACTCGACCACCAGGGGCCTTCACCCTGTACTCGACCACCAGGGGCCTTCACCCTGTACTCGACCACCAGAGGCCCTCACCCTGTACTCGACCACCAGGGGGCACTCACCCTGTAGTCGACCAAAAAGGGCCCTCACCTTGTACTCTACAAACCAGGGGCACTCACCCTGTACTCGACCACCAGAGGCACTCACCCTGTACTCGACCACCAGAGGCACTCACCTTGTACTCGACCACCAGGGGCACTCACCCTGTACTCGACCACCAGGGGGCACTCACCCTGTACTCGACCACCAGAGGCACTCACCTTGTACTCGACCACCAAGGGCACTCACCCTGTACTCGACCACCAGAGGCACTCACCCTGTACTCGACCACCAGAGGCACTCACCTTGTACTCGACCACCAAGGGCACTCACCCTGTACTCGACCACCAGAGGCAATCACCCTGTTCTCGACCACCAGAGGCACTCACCTTGTACTCGACCACCAGAGGCACTCACCTTGTACTCGACCACCAGAGGCACTCACCTTGTACTCGACCACCAGAGGCACTCACCTTGTACTCGACCACCAGAGGCACTCACCTTGTACTCGACCACCATAGGCACTCACCCTGTACTCGACCACCAGAGGCATTCACCTTGTACTCGACCACCAGAGGCACTCACCTTGTACTCGACCACCATAGGCACTCACCTTGTACTCGACCACCAGAGGCACTCACCCTGTACTCGACCACCAGAGGCACTCACCCTGTACTCGACCACCAGAGGCACTCACCTTGTACTCGACCACCAGAGGCACTCACCCTGTACTCGACCACCAGAGGCACTCACCCTGTACTCGACCACCAGAGGCACTCACCTTGTACTCGACCACCAGAGGCACTCACCCTGTACTCGACCACCAGGGGGCACTCACTTTGTACTCGACCACCAGAGGCACTCACCTTGTACTCGACCACCAGAGGCACTCACCTTGTACTCGACCACCAGAGGCACTCACCTTGTACTCGACCACCAGAGGCACTCACCTTGTACTCGACCACCAGAGGCCCTCACCCTGTACTCGACCACAAGAGGCACTCACCCTGTACTCAACCACCAGAGGCACTCACCCTGTACTCGACCACCAGAGGCACTCACCTTGTACTCGACCACCATGGAGGTGATGGGACAGCCGCCGTCGAGCCAGGCAGCCAGGTTGAGAGAGATGGAGGTGACGTTGACTCTCAGAAGAGAGGACTGAGCTGGCACGATGGGCTCTGGCAGGGGGGGAGGTAAACATACACCGTCAGTTCAAGCATTAAAAATAGACAGACAGACAGAGAATCATGTATGGACCGGTTCCTGGACAGGTGAATATGGACATCGCAACACAAGTAATGCGCAGACGGCTGTGTCCTGGAGGGTACACAGCCGTGTACCCTCCGTGGCGCACGTCTGTGTACCACATGCTGGTGACCGGATACAAGTACCCTCGTGGCGCACGTCTGTGTACCACATGCTGGTGACCGGACACAAGTACCCTCGTGGCGCACGTCTGTGTACCACATGCTGGTGACCGGACACAAGTACCCTCGTGGCGCACTTCTGTACACCAGTTGCATAGTGCTCCTGGGAGTATGGGTTCGAGTCACTTCTGGGGTTTGGAGTTTTCAGTTGCATATATGCCTGGGGACCATTCAGGCTTTTTTGCATATATATATATATATATATATATATATATATATATATATATATATATATATATATATATATATATATATATATATATATATATATATATGCGAACAAGCCTGAATGGTCCCCAGGACTATATGCGACTGAAAACTCACACCCCAGAAGTGACTCGAACCCATACTCCCAGGAGCAACGCAACTGGTAACTACAGGGCGCCTTAATTCGCTTGACTTGAGTCACTTCTGGGGTGTGAGTTTTCAGTCATATATATATATATATATATATATGTCGTACCTAGTAGCCAGAACGCACTTCTATGCCAACTATGCAAGGCCAGATTTGCCTAATAAGCCAAGTTTTCATGAATTAATTGTTTTTCGACTACCTAACCTACCTAACCTAACCTAACCTAACTTTTTCGGCTACCTAACCTAACCTAACCTATAAAGATAGGTTAGGTTAGGTTAGGTAGGGTTGGTTAGGTTCGGTCATATATCTACGTTAATTTTAACTCCAATAAAAAAAATTGACCTCATACGTAATGAAATGGGCAGCTTTATCATTTCATAAGAAAAAAAAATTAGAGAAAATATATTAATTCAGGAAAACTTGGCTTATTAGGCAAATCGGGCCTTGCATAGTAGGCCGAAAAGTGCGTTCTGGCTACTAGGTACGACATATATATATATATATATATATATATATATATATATATATATATATATATATATATATATATATATATATATATATATATATATATATATATATATATATATATAAATATATGACCGAAAAAGTAAGATTAATAATTCTAACACGATTTTCTCAATATTTCTTATGTTTCTTTTCACTGTCGATGGTAATTGAAACATCAATTCTCCAAAATTCATTTTTATTTCTAGTCTGACGCGACACTTGAACGTGTTTCGTAATAACTTATTACATTTTCAAAGACTTTAGTTTACACACACACACAACTTTAACCTGCAAACACTAAACAGAGTCCTACTATGCTATAATTTAAACGGCTTTCATTTTATATACCTGCATTTGGGTGAGGTGATATGTTACAACAGTTTTGGATGAGGTGAAAACACAAGACAGAACACGAAACAATGGGTATAATATCGGGTAAGTTTAAAGGGAAGAATGGAAGTAACTGCAAAGGGCCTATTGGCCCATATTTCTTGATGCTTCTATATTGGTGCGGAGTCTTGAAGTGGGTAGAATATAGTTGTGCATTAATGGGCTGTTGATTGCTGGTGTTGACTTCTTGTTCTGTAGTGCCTCGCAGATATCAAGCCGCCTGCTATCGCTGTATCTATCGATGATTTCTGTGTTTTTTGTTAAGACTTCTCTGGTGATGGTCTGGTTGTGGGAAGAGATTATATGTTCCTTAATGGAGCCCTGTTGCTTATGCATCGTTAATCGCCTGGAAAGAGATGTTGTTGTCTTGCCTATATACTGAGTTCTTTGAGGCTTACAGTCCCCATGTGGGCATTTGAAGGCATAGACAACATTAGTCTCTTAAAACGTTCTGCTTTGTGTCTGGAGAGTTTCTCATGAGTTGGTTGGCCGTTTTTTTGGTTTTATAGTAAATCGTCAATTGTATCTTCTGATTTTTGTCTGTAGGGACAACGTTCCTATTAACAATACCTTTCAGGACCCTTTCCCCCGTTTTATGAGTTGTGGAAAAGAAGTTCCTGTAAAGTAGTCTAATAGAGGGTACAGGTGTTGTGTTAGTTGTCTCTTCAGAGGTTGCATGGCGTTTCACCTTCCTTCTTATGATGTCTTCAACGAAACAATTGGAGAAGCCATTGTTGACTAGGACCTGCCTTACCCTACAGAGTTCTTCATCGACTTGCTTCCATTCTGAGCTGTGGCTGAGAGCACGGTCGACATAACCGTTAACAATACTCCTCTTGTACCTGTCTGGGCAGTCACTGTTGGCATTGAGACACATTCCTATGTTTGTTTCCTTAGTGTAGACTGCAGTGTGGAAACCTCCGCTCCTTTCCATGACTGTTACATCTAGAAAGGGCAGCTTCCCATCCTTCTCCATCTCGTAAGTGAAACGCAACACAGAATTCCGCTCAAATGCCTCCTTCAGCTCCTGCAGATGTCTAACATTAGGTACCTGTGTTAAAATGTCGTCAACATATCTGCAGTATATCGCTGGTTTCAATTTCATGTCGACTAAGACCTTTTGTTCGATAGTACCCATGTAGAAGTTCGCAAACAGGACACCTAGGGGAGAACCCGTGGCGACCCCATCTACTTGCTTATACATGTGCCCATCCGGGCTCAAGAAGGGTGCCTCTTTAGTACAAGCTTGGAGTAGTTTCCTTAGAATGTTTTCTGGACCTTGCAGGAATCAACCTCACTGAGGACCAAGTCACTCTCCTAAATCTGGGTATAAATTGTCACGTTATGTCCAGACCAAGTGAGATGGCCTGGAAAGTGGAGTTGGAGATCCTGTTGGACGACATATTCGACCTCGAGACACAAAAGGAGGTCACCACCAAAGACACCTTACAAGCAGAGCTTATTGCGGAGGGAGGAAAGAATCCAGGCAACTACAGTAGCACCATACTCTCCCCCGAGCTCAAAGCGGCAGCTAAGAGCCTTCGTGAGAACAAGGAGATAGTCTTCTGACGAGGTGACAAGTCGCCAATATACGTCATTCTTAAAAAAGACGAATATCTGGCGAAAATGAACCTCATTCTCTCTGACCAAACTAAATTCCAATGGGTAACGAAGGACATAACAGCCGAACTGAAAGCAAAGGTCAACAAATTGATTGAAACTGTGAACGCCAAGAAATCTGGACTCCACCTACCAAAGATTATTGGGGAATATAAACATGGATACTGTTACGGTGCCCTCTCCTATTTCTTTCGTTTGCTGGCTTAAAGAGTCATATCAGCTCTCCCTACTGATTCTCTGAGGTTCAGGGAGTCTATTGATATATGTGGCGACCAGACCGGCTGCCAGTTAAGGGAGAACGTTACATTATAAGTTGTAATTAAGGGGAAATTGGCACCCTGATATAAAATGAAAGAGTATCCCCTAATGCAGATATGACCTTTTGGAAGGGACACTAGCCGATCGCGGATTGGCCGACTTAGGTCGCGGGCGACCAATCAGGGCCCGCCGTGACGTCACCAAGTGCCCCGGGCGGCGCCAACGTCAAAGTTGACCTGGCCTTGGAAGCGAGAGGACGCACCTCGGTCAGCTCTCAAGGATTAGAGGCGCTACAAGCCTTTCTTAGTGGATTAGTGCAGGCTATCGCAGCCCATCGGATATATTGGAGACCCCGCGCTTCTGGGAAGCAAAAAGGAACCAAGTTTATTGAGCAAAAGAGTGCCAAACTTGGAAAATATTCGGCGACGACGCTGGGGGGCGACGCTGGACGTTGAGGGCCTGGAAAGGTGTGGCGGGCAAGCCTAGCTGTGACCGGGTCACATCCACTGAGGGTTTTGGAAGGACGACACCGTGCCTAGGACAAGGAGCAACGCCTTGTAGAAGGGGCGAGTGTGGGAAAATAGTGGTTAGCTCAGTGCCCATCGATGAACCAGGATTGGGGTAGCTGAATCTCAGGGATTGGAACTGCGACGACGCGAAGGCTCCACGACACCTGAGGACCTGTGGAACGTTCCTGGATCGTCGAGGATCGACTCAGGAAGCGTGGGAACCTCACACCATCGAGGGACAGGCGTCGTGAGCCAGGAATGTAAGGTAGATCATTTTCCCTCCCATTACCCCTTGTGTGAGTAGGCTAGTTAGGCCACAGTATTTACTTATGTATGTGGCAATAGGACATTAATTCTTTAGTAGTAGAATAGGCTGCAAGGCAGCTTGTGTCCAGGACTGTCAGAGGGGACAGTGTGTATGGATGGCAGGACAGTGAAGAAGAGGCGCCGACGTGGTGAAGAGGCCCTCCTGTAAGAGAGTGTGGGACTCCTGTCCTTCTGCCCAGTTGAAGAAGTGTTGGAGGTCGTGGAAGAAGAGGCTGACGATCTCCAGACTTATTATCCTTATTTTCATATTCATGTATTACTTGTGATTGTATGTGTGATCATGTAATTTGCGTCAGTAAATTCACACATTTTATCACTGTGTTTAAGTGTGCCTCCATTTATAATATTTCTCTATGAGCATACACGAAGGTTATCATAGTACCACCTAGGGAACACTACGTTCTCTATAGAAGTTCTTATTGCCTGGAGAGTGGTAAAGACAGCACAGACTTACATAAAAGTGTACCCTTAGCCATCCAATCAGTATCAGTGCCTGAATGGTGGCAACTATAAAGTAGTGGCTATAGAGAGGTAAAGCCACACAGACCTTCCTGGGAGAGTACCCTGGGCCAACAGTCTAATAGCAGATCTATGGGAGTAGCAATCTTCTGGCTACAAACAATATATAATACACCCACTGAACTGCATTGCTGGGGTGCAGATATAATAACCCAGCTGGCGACCTTGTTAAGAAGAAGATAGAGAAGACAGGCAGGAAAGGAGTTCCTGCAACCTTTTTGTCTGGCAGGCAAGACTCAGAGAGGTTATTGTTATAAGGTAAGCCTGAGTCTTCCTTCACTCCTCCACGGGTCTAGGCCAGAACTGTTAACAGCAGTTTCCCCGTGTTTGATTGAAGGGCTTCCAGGGTGAATCAGTGGCACCCCATTTTGTGGTGGAAGCAAAGACCTGCGGAGGTGGGCATTGTTGGTCCTCTCCTGTGTGACCAAGGAGACTCCGGTGAATCCCGGGAGTCGGAGGGGCTGAGTATTCGGCCTTTTGAGCCCCTAGCAGCCGAGTGCTAGCAGAGCCCCGGCCCACCTCCACGTGACAATACGCGTATGGAAATGTCAAGACACATAAGCCTGGAAACCCACTTCGGCCAATCATCAGCCAGATACCCACACCCACGTACAGACTGGCGAAGCGACTCAACGGCTTGCTGACTCCTTATGTCCCTTGCGCCTTCAGCCTGAAGTCTCCAAAGGAATTGGTTGACTTACTGCGGGGAACACGGGCCACAGGGATAAGTGCCTCGTTGGACATAGAATCACTGTTTACCAAAGTACCTGTGGATGAAACAATCGGGATGATAGCGGACAGAGTGTATCGTGATCCGGCCTGTACTCTTCTTGACATACCAGATAACATTCTAAGGAAACTACTCCAAGCTTGTACTAAAGAGGCACCCTTCTTGAGCCCGGATGGGCACATGTATAAGCATGTAGATAGGGTCGCCATGGGTTCTCCCCTTGGTGTCCTGTTTACAAACTTCTACATGGGTACCATCGAACAAAAGGACTTAGTCGACATGAACTTGAAACCGGCCATATACTGCAGGTATGTTGACGACATTTTTACACAGGTACCTGACGTCAGACATCTGCAGGAGCTAAAGGAGGCATTTGAGTGGAATTCTGTGTTGCGTTTCACTTACGAGATGGAGAAGGATGGGAAGCTGCCCTTTCTAGATGTAACAATCATGGAAAGGAGCGGAGGTTTCCACACTGCAGTCTACACTAAGGAAACAAACATAGGAATGTGCCTCAATGCCAACAGTGACTGCCCAGACAGGTAAAGAGGAGTGTCGTTAACGCTTATGTCGACTGTGCTCTCAGCCACAGTTCAGGATGGAAGCAAATCGATGAAGAACTCTGTAGGGTAAGGCAGGTCCTAGTCAACAACGGCTTCTCCAATGGTTTCGTTGAAGACATCATAAGAAGGAAGGTGAAACACCATGCAACCTCTGAAGAGACAACTAACACAACACCTATACCCCCTATTAGACTATTTTACAGGAACTTCTTTTCCACAGCTCATAAAACGGAGGAAAGGGTCCTGAAAGATATTGTTAATAGAAACGTTATCCCTACAGACAAAAATCAGAAGATACAAATGACGATTTAATATAAAACCAAGAAAACGGCCAACCTACTCATTAGAAACTCTTCAGACACAAAGCAGAACGCTTTAAAAAGATACCAATGTCGTCTATGCCTTCAAATGCCCACTTGGGGACTGTAAGCCTCAAAGAATTCAGTATATAGGCAAGACAACAACATCTCTTTCCAGGCGATTAACGATGCTTAAGCAACAGGGCTCCATTAAGGAACATATAATCTCTTCCCACAACCAGACCATCACCAGAGAAGTCTTAACAAAAAACACGGAAAACATCGATAGATACAGCGATAGCAGGCAGCTTGATATCTGCGAGGCACTACACATTAAGAAGTCGACACCAGCAATCAACAGCCAATTAATGCACAACTATATTCTACCCACTTCAAGACTCCGCACCAATATAGAAGCATCAAGAAATATGGGCCAAAAGGCTGTTGCATTTACTTCCATTCTTCCCTTTAACTTACAAAATATTATACCCATTGTTTCGTTTTCTGTCTTGTGTTGAAAGTTTGTTTTCACTTCAACCAAAACTGTTGTAACATATCACCTCACCCAAATGCAGGTACAAAATCAAAGCTGTTTAAACTCTGTTTAGTTGTTTGCAAGTTATAGTTGTGTGTGTGTGTAAACTAAAGTCTTTGAAAATGTAATGAGTTATTACGAAACACGTTCAAGTGTCGCGTCAGACTAGAAATAAAAATGAATTTTGGATAATTGATTTTTCAATTACCATCAACAGCGAAAAGAAATATAAGAAATATTGAGAAAATTCGTGTTAGAATTATTAATCTTACTTTTTCGGTCATATTTAATAATATATTTATATAAATACTGCTATATACTATATATATATATATATATATATATATATATATATATATATATATATATATATATATATATATATATATATATATATATATATATATATATATATATATATAATGGGACCTTTTAAGATATGCATCTTATTGCTTCGTAATTACATTTATTACCTAACCTATAATAGGTATCGGTTAAGTAATAATTGTAATTACGAAGCAATAAGATGCTTATCTTAAGATACTAACAAGGTTAGGTAAGGTCGGTGTTTTCTATGAATCTTCTTAAGGGTATCTATTATGTTTAGTATATCACCTATGCACGTAGTTAATAAGTCAATATTGACTTTACGAATTTACGAGAACGGGTTGCAATGGTTATACTTAAACATTGTCTAACCAAAATTATTGAATGTTTTAGCCTCTACCTACATTCTTCCCTGTCAAGAATGTAGTCAGAAGCAAAAACAACAGTTTCCCCGCAGACTCTTACCTCGGCCGAGGGTCTTGGTGGGGATGGGGTCGCTGGGCTGGGAGGCGCCGACGTGGTTGTGGGCGCTGACGTAGACCTGGTAGCGGGTGCCACACTGAAGGCCCGTGAGGGTGTAGGAGTCGGCGTGGGCAGGGACCTCCACCCGCCGCCACTCCCCAAACTCCCGCTTCTCGTGGAGGTAGTACCCTGAAGGTTTAGTTAGTTTATTATGGACCCCATACCCACCTTGTGGGCGGTAGTGGAAAGGGTTACAGAGGCACATAATGGGCTCAGGGACTGAACCCCACAATTCATTTAGCTAAGCAAGTTACAATCTTGATGAGCTAGATACAAAATTCAATATAAGTCGTCACATCAACAATGGGTTCGAGATCGACCTCAAGTACAGGTTCTAAATGAAGCAACTGACATATGTGGAGAGCTAGTGTCAAAATTGATATGTTTGTCCTGCACACCGCCCCCCATCCAGTGGGCAGCGGTGGATAGGTTACAATCACTCAGTTACTACCTACAGTTAGCAAACTGGGGATATTTGGCTAAAATTTCTGGTAGCAGAAATATTTTTGAATGAAATATTTACACATCGCTGGAACATTGGTTATATAATTGTCTTTAAATTCACGTATCTTTTCGCACTCCATCACATAGTGACGGAGGGTGTGCGAATAATTTTGTTGACACAGTTTACATTTGGTCAGGTGGCAACCAATCCCGGCGTTACTATCCGGCCTCCGGCACTCTCGTCCATACTCCTCACTCCTCACACTTTCTTTTCTTATACTACCAGAGTTCCTGGCATTATACTTACTATAAAATGCTTTTGTAAACAAAGTTATTGCTCATATCCTAAGCAAGATCTCTGATGCAACCTGTGAGTCACCACTCTAGCCTACGTCTGTAGACAGGTCCGTCTGCACCACAGTGTACACAAACACTGTGGCCGCTACGTGAACGTCACTCTGTGACAAGCTGTATGCTCCTTTACGTAGCAACAGGAGAAAGTTACTCATTCGTAATTCAACTCATAACCCGTAACTCATTCATTCAATTCCTTCACCTGAATTTTCTTGACAAATATTGACAGGCTGAGAAGGATTAGACCAACACAGACCCATCTTACAACCAGCTTCGGTCTGACACTAACACGAGATGACCCTCTTGCATCACAAAATTAGCTTCTAGCACAATTTCAAACCTTATGATAAACTGAACGAAGCATGGTAAATATTCTGAACAGCCTACGTAAGAACCGACCTAGTAAAGCCTCCCAAAAATTTGAATACACATGTAAATGCAAATAGTCATCAAGGTTTGAACAATGTCCAATAAAAAAAAACTGGAAAATACCTACTGCAGTAAACCGCCCTCTTCCTTTATCCCGATATATAAGTAAAAAATCTCACCAGTATTTACATATTTTAAGGTAAAACAAATGGTAAAGTTTTCGTCCTGATCTGTGTAAAATTAAAGAAAACGCTCTATCTCAGCTGTGCACAAAACATTAATTTCTAATAAAATATGAAACTAAACACACACACACACATATATATAAATATAAATATATATATATATATATATATATATATATATATATATATATATATATATATATATATATATATATATATATATATATATATATATATATATATATTACTTTTTAGACACTCAACCCACCAGGAGACTCGAACACTGGCCAACAAGGTGGCAGTTGCATGCTGTATCCACTACACCATACTTCAAAGCCATAAGAGAGGTAGGAATTCTGGGGTATTTAACCAACCAGCCCCATATAACAGGAACCGATGAAAGAGCATTAGAGGTCCCACGCTATCTCATTGCCTGGGAGAGGATTGGAGTTCTGGTTGGTTAAATACCCCAGAATTCCTACCTCTCTTATGGCTTTGAAGTATGGTGTAGTGGATACAGCATGCAACTACCACCTTGTTGGCCAGTGTTCGAGTCTCCTGGTGGGTTGAGTGTCTAAAAAGTTATAAACTTCAGCTACTGGAATAGGGTAGTCTGTGCATATATATATATATATATATATATATATATATATATATATATATATATATATATATATATATATATATATATATATATATATATGTCGTACCTAGTAGCCAGAACGTCGTACTTGGACTACTATGCAAGGCCCGATTTGCCTAATAAGCCAAGTTTTCCTGAATTTACATATTTTTCCAAATTTTTTCTTACGAAATGATAAATCTGTCCATTTCATTATGTATAAGGTAATTTGTTTCTATTTGAGTTAAAACTAACGAAGATATATGACCTAACCTAACCAACCCTACCAACCCTACCTAACCTAACCTAACCAACCCTACCTAACCTAACCTAACCTACCTAACCAACCCTACCTAACCTAACCTAACCTAACCTAACCTACCCTACCTAACCTAACCTAACCTACCTAACCAACCCTACCTAACCTAAACTAAGTCAGTAAATTATGGTTTTAATATAATAAATTAATAATAATTCAAATAAACTGACTGGAAACAATTTATTGAAAATAAAGAAAATCTCTCGGCCTATTAGGCAAATCGGGATTTGCATAGGTCAATAAATTATGGTCTTAAAATAAAATAATAATATTAATCCAAATAAAGTATTTGGATAAAATTTATTGAAAATAAAGAAAATCACTCGGCCTATTAGGTAAATCGGGCCTTGCATAGTAGGCTGAGAAGTGCGCTCTGGCTACTAGGTACGACATATATATATATATATATATATATATATATATATATATATATATATATATATATATATATATATATATATATATATATATATATATATATATAGATAACTATCCGAGTGCCGGCGGTGGGGTGGTTCAAATAGCCTCGGCTATCACCTCATTATGTCCGGTCGTGATGGTCAAGTGGATTAAGGCGTCTTGTACATACCAGATGCGTTGCTTCTGGGAGTATGGGTTCGAGTCACTTCTGGGGTGTGAGTTTTCAGTTATATATATATATATATATATCTACGATTCCTTTATCCCTGAGCCGCCGCCTCCACGCATTATTAGGCTTTGGAAACCTATACCTGACTATCCATTTCAAGTCCGTTGATAAGACTCATTTGTGCCCAGCGCTCCATTTTCTTTATTTTTTCAATTTTTTTTGCATCCCAAACCCACAATCTGTGAATTGTTTTGCTTTGTCTCTGAGGTCTCATAACCAGACGTTTGGTTCGTTATGGGGCGGTCGGGCCCCTGAGATGTATTCATAAATTTGTAACATATGGTGTAATAAAATAGCGTTTTATCTCATTTATAAATTAATAAATTATTCAATAATAGAAGTAAGTAAGTAATTATCAAAAGAAGGCACCAAACCGGGAAGGCTATGTAGCACCATCAAATACGCAAAATAATCAGAGGGCGCTAAATATCACCAAGGATGCCAATACGAGAACAAAAACGCATAAGGCGAACGATATCAAAAGTATCCGAGTCACCAAGAATTCTATCGAGGGATAGGTGACCGCGAGGGGCGGTCGGAAAGCAAGACACACGCTCGTCCTGGAAGTCAGGACATTCAAGAAGGACATGCACGACCGTAAGAGGGACAATGCAACTAGGACAATAAGGAGCAGGGCGGCGCTCCATCAAGTGACCATGGGTTAAGCGAGTATGGCCAATACGCAACCTCGCTAGAGCTGTTTCCCACCGCCGGTTACGGTGGAAGGAGGACGGCCACGAGGAAACACAACATTTAAGAGTACGTAGCTTGTTACCAGTAACAGACAACCAAGAAGCCTGCCAACGGGTAAGGACTGAGGAATGGATAACCGGGTAAAAGTCGGAATACGGAATGCCTTTACGAGAGATGGGACAAGAGCGGACAGCTTCCTTAGCGGCAGCATCCGCACGCTCATTTAAAGACACGCCAATATGGCTGGGAACCCAACAAAACTCAACCGACTTAAATTTACTGTGAACGAGAAACAGCCAATGCTGGATCTCGACAACTACCGGATGAACTGGATTAAAGCACCCGAGAGCCATGAGGGCACTACGAGAGTCAACAACAACCACAAAGGAAGACTGACAACGAGAAAGCAGGAGACGAAGAGCATAGAGAATAGCATAAAGTTCCGCTGTAAAGATGCTAGTCTCCGGAGGCAAGCGACACATATAAGTGCGATCAGGAAAAACAACAGAGTAGCCAACACCGTCCGCTGACTTAGACCCATCGGTGAAGACAGAAACGGAGCGGGAGTGAGAAGAAAAGTGCTCGAGGAAAAGGCGTTTTAGAACTGTAGGAGGGGTAAAAGCTTTAGTGATACGAGTCAAGGATGTACAAAACCGCGGAAGAGGGACCCTCCACGGGGGCAAAGAAGGAACAACACGAGGAGAAACATCAGAAATACGAACGGAAAGAGAATCCTGCAGGCGAGATAACCGGACAGAAAGAGGGAGGTGGTGAAGAGGAACAGGAACCGCAGGAGGGGTAAAAGTTAAAGCACGACAGAGACGAGAGGAAGGATGTTGCAAGGACCGCGCAAGATAGCGAAGACAGTAGCGATCACGGCGGTCCTGGAGAGACAGGAAGCCAGTGTCAACATACAAGCTAAGGACGGGAGTCGAACGAAAGGCACCAGAACTGAGGCGCAACCCAGTATGGTGCAAAGCATCAAGACGGCGAAGAGTAGAAGGAGAAGCAGACGAGTAAGCAGGGCAACCATAATCGAGCTTAGACAGGACGAGAGAGGAATGTAAAGCAAGGAGAGTGCGCCTATCTGCCCCCCAAGAAGTATGGGACAAGACCCGAAGGAGGGTAAGGGACTTAGAGCACTCAACACGGAGGTAAGAGATATGGGGAGACCAAGACAAACGAGTGTCAAGGAATAACCCCAAAAGCTTCGCGGAATCTTTGTATTCAAGGGGATGACCATAAAGTGACAAAGAGGGACGAAGAACAACCCGTTTCCGCGTAAAAGTCATGGCACAAGTCTTAGAAGTAGAGAACTTGAAGCCATGACCTGTGGCCCAAGACGACACGGCATCAATCGCAAGTTGAAGCCGGCGTTGAAGGAGAGGCGAATCATCACCCTGACAACAAAGGGTAAGATCATCGACATAGAGAGCGGAGAAGACACCAGAAGGAAGAGAGGAAAGAAGACCATTGAGGGCAACCAGAAAAAGA